GCTATGTAGAGGAAGATTCCATGAGCAGATCTATTTTTCCAGTGGAACACACTTTTCTTATTTGCTTGCCTGGGAAGGGAGGGGGGAGTGCAGGTGGACAGGGTTCAGAAGGAATTCAAACCCTTATTACTGTAAGTGTCCAATATAAAAAAGATTAGGGTCACCCAAAAAATTTAGCATTATTCAGGACCACTTTTTCAAACATGGGGTCTGGAATAATTTTGGAAAATTTAGCATTATTGAAGACCGGCTTACTAATCAACATCCAACATTACTTCACCACGTAGCAGATTGAGCTTTGGGCACTCCCCGATCCTGAGAGGAGTTAGAGAGCAAGTGGGCTTCTGCTTTGACCCCTGGCCGCTTGCATTGAGTTATGATTTCGGGAATGCTGCCTCTCTCATACCCTCCGACAATTTTTGCAAAGTCATCAGTTCAGGGATCATGATCACGCGTATGTGAGTGCAGTTTTTTTTTCTACTTTCCTACTCAACTCAGTCTGAACTCATCCTTGCCAATGACAATCGGCCATAGGTTGCTTTGCCAAGAAAAAGAACGCTGCAAGCTGTCTCTCTTGCAGAACACTCAGCCGCTGTTCTTCACGCCAAGGTAACAAAACAGAGATGGTCGGGCCTGAGGATTCTGAGCGCAGCAGAGAGGCTGGGCTTTCCTTGGTTGGAATGCTTCAGAACACACCGAATTTTGCTGTGTTGATGAAAGTCCTCAACGATCCACCCTTTGCAGGTAGCACCAAGCCACACCAAAAACAAACAGGAATTGTGGCACTTAGACTACCTCCGAGTGCTAAAGGCGTCTAAGGCAGTGTCTTAGACTACCCCCAAATGAATCATGCGACGAGTTCTTTAAGGAAGCTCCTGCGCCCAGCTCATGCAAGCCTGATCTCAGCAGCTACGTCCCAGCTTTGTAGCTACTTACTACTTACCCCTTGCTACAAGCTGCTTGAAAGAGCTCTCCTCATGGCCTAACCCGTACAAAAAGAATCAGTATATACAAAGATCATTGATGCAAGAGGACTATTTCAGATCTCTCCCATGTGGCCCAGGTTCGTGACTCCGTAATGTCTTTCAGACAAATCGACTTGGATGAGGTGAATGACCGCTTGGCCGCCACTTGTGGCTTGCCGAAGATCAGCCGAATCGAAGGACTCAGGACGTGGGAACTTGGGGGCCGAAGAGACTTGCTAACCATATGCTCGAAGTCTCCTTGTTGACGGCAGGGCGGTACACCACCGACTGGGTTCACTTTGCCAAAAGAGAACAAAAACACAGTAAGTACTGTACCCCTACCCCTAGCCAAGGTGTTTCATAATCCTTTTTGTCATCCATAGCATCACATATTTTGCTTGGTTCAGGATGAGGGAGAAAGCTGACTGTTGAGAGTTGGAAGCTCTTCAAAAGATTAATGGCAGGCTTGTTTCTTTGTCCAAAAGAACACTCTGATCAGAGTTTGAGCTATTCCTATGTACGTACTGAGCTATGTGTTTTCAATCCGCCCAATGCTATGTGACCTTCCTACCATGACCGCCCCAATGTTTTTCGCCTGGCACAGGATTTGGACAACAGTCACTTAGTTTTCCAAGCTTCGAGAGCAAAGCGTAGATTCTGCTGGCTCCCTTCCTTCCCAGCACAGTGCTTTATCCCCAAAGCCTCTCTTTGAATGCTTTTGGCAGCTTGACTCCACCACTTCGGCAGCTGAGGCATGAGCTTCCACACCATGCAGACGGAGTTGGAATGCCTTCTTGAAAGAGCCACGCTGATCCCGCAGGGCGCCCTCGCACAGGAGTGGCCACGCACGTATTTGACACCAATTCTGAGGTTCTAAGACTCTAACTATGTCATCTATGAGGCAATACAAAAAAATACAACTGAATTCATTCGCTGGCTTTGTTGAAGCCAAGTTATTGATGGAGGGGCGTTTTTTGTTTTTCTTTTTTTTGTTTTTTTTCTATTTTTTTTCGGATTCTGCTTTTGCTGCTTTTCTGCTTTTGTTGCTCTTCTGCTTCTGCTGCTTTTTTGCTTTTGTTTCTTTTCTGCTTTTGTTGCTTTTCTGCTTTTGCTGCTTTTCTGCTTCTACTGCTTTTTTGCTTTTGTTGTTTTTCTGCTTTTTGGGTTTTTGTCTTTCTGCTCTTTGCTTTTGTTGCTTTTCTGCTTTGGCAGCTGTCCTCCTTTCTCTTTTTGTTTGTGCTTTTCCATTTGTTTGCTTTGTCGATCTATTTGCTTTTGTGTATTCCTACCTATCGCAGCAGTTTGGTGCAGTTAGCAGAGAAACAGCTGTTGTAGCTGGCAAAGTCCATTGGAACTGTGCTGGTTTCAAATTGGTTGCAGCGTGGTCGACATTTCACAAAAGAGCTGTGATGGATGGCAAAGAAGAAACCAAACAAGGAAGCAAGCAAGCACGAGCTGCTCACCTTTGGATCTGGTGTGCTGCTCACCCCCCCCGTGCCACGAAATCTGCACTTCATCTCCGACAGCCGCGCCTGCCACGAAATCAATCTTTTAAGGTGAGCTGCCCGGGCAAAAACTTCTAACCAACCAAATATGCCTCCTGTGCTAGTTCTCTTTCTCTTTGCTGCTTCTCTGCTAACTGCACCAACTGTTGTCATAAGTAGGAATTTCGCTGACACCTACACTATTCCAATGTATTTTGCTAGCTACGACAGTTCCCAAATTAGTCTAATCAGCTAGCGATTAATATGAAGCCTGCACTATGCCAATGTATTTGGCCAGCTACGACACGTGTCTCTGCTAAGGACGCGACATCTGTTTCTCTTAAGTGTCAGCCCCGCTGCCGAAACTGCTTCTCTTTCAAGCTCAGCCACTCAACCCGCCTTGGTCCGCAGTTCCTTTTCCCAGGCTGCCGTAAATAGCAGCAAACTGTGAGCCCCAAGGATTTGGAAAACAGATCCCGAAAAAAGACGACGAATTGCACCTGTTATTGATCAGCTGCTCAGCCTTCACCTGCGCTTCATATTTTGGGTCTGCCTGTCTTCACGAGGTTTCAGGTTTTATTGCAGAGCTGTTCTATCATTCCCTCTCATAGCAGAGCAATCATTTGGCTTCATGTGGGGTTTCTTGAATGCTTTCCTGAGCTGATTCTGGCTGCCACGCCGTGTTGTAGTATGAGATGTCATGCCAGAGCCATTGTTCTGACTAATAACCTCATCATAGAACAACATGAGCCAACTGGAAGAAGACATTGATGTCCAACCAGAAAAGAGTCAACCAGGAAAGGAAGAAACTATATTTCATAAACTCACTGTTGATTTCGTTCCCAGCATGTCTTGTTTGTTTGGAATGGGATGGTGTTGCTTTTCTCTTGCTGAATGAGTTCTTTTCACGCTTTTTGAAGGCATCGGAGTCCGTCCAGCACGTGAAGAGTGTCAAGTCTCAGGGCGACCGGATTGACCGCCCAAAATTCACCACAAATCGCTCGCTCTCTTCCCTTCAGACGCACTCCAGCAAGAAGACAGGCAGTGACATGGATGGTGAGTTGGAAGACAGATTCAAGGAGCAGCGGTTTCATCTGAAGCTTAACATTCGTCGGCCGTTGACGCCATGTTGACCTTTGGTGTCCGGTGCTTTGGTGTCCGGTTTTGTTGAGAAAGCCACTTGGCGAGGACTTGCTCTCAGATTTTCGGGAGCACATGGAGAAGGACGAGCACATGGGAGCACGTGTTCGCAAGCACTCTCGCTTGACTTGAGGGCACCACAAAGAGAACATTCAGTGTACCACGATTTTTTCTTCCCCCCAACTCTCAGGGAAGTGCCTGGTTGACGAAGCCACCATGTTTGATCGGGTTCTAGAAACAACTGTCCGAAAGCTCAAGCTTGACGGGCTCTACTTCTAGATACCCAAACCACGAGGGAACTGATTCCCCCTGTTTGTGCCCTGGCAGGAAGCACAGCTACAAGGCAAATGCAGAGAAACCTTGGAATCAATCAGCTCATTAATGTATCACTGGAGCATTGTGCAGAATGACCTGTAGCATGCATGCAGCATGCACACCATGTCTAAGACATCAGGTGTCGGTCCCGTCGAAGAATCATTGGCTAATTGCCAAGACATCTGAAAGCGTGCTTCTGGTGACAAGAAAAGGAGGTCAAGGATTTGGACACTGCAACGATTTTTGAGATTGATTATGATTCACTGATTTGGGTGGAACAAGGGGATCTGGGTGTGGGAGATTTGGTGACCGAGCTGTCCAAAAGTTGAGTGAACCCGTGAACCCCTTCAAAAGCCTCATTTGCTCAGAGTTCTTTGCCCTCGCGCAGAACCCCGCAGAATCCAGGACCGGTGACATCCGGTGACCCATGACATCGCTCCCAGACTCCAACGTGACCCATCCGATGAATGTCCGGTCTGGCATTTGAAAAGCTCACCAACCGTTTGGGTGAGTTTCTGCAGTGCTTTCAAGACCGGTGAACACCTAGGAACTGCATTTGGATCATGTCAGGGTTCCAAAGCCGTGCAATGATCGTGAAAAGGAACAGGAGTTTCGTGGTCTCAAGGCTTGGAATGCATGGCTCAATGCTCGGAATGTGATGTCTATTAGTTAATGAACAAAGATCAGATGTGTATAAATGATGTGTATACATATATATATGGCCTCGCCCTCAAAGACTGATCTACCTTTTTCATGTGTGTGTACTACATTTCAAAGCAAGGACTTGATTTGTCTGAGGGCATATATATTTTGGTCTTTGCAGTATTCGGGTGATCTATATATATATAGAACATATGACCTTTACTATGAATAAATAGTTTTAACGTTTTTAGGATACCTTGTCCCCCAGCAAATCACCCGGCCCAAATCCCCACGCTAACCTCAGGTGATGAAGATTGATACTGTGCAAAAAAACTATTGAAATAAAATACCTATACATATATAATCTGTGCAATGACGTATGCTTCCCATGTGCGTTTGCTCTATCGCTTGTCTATTGGTTTTCTTCTTGTAGACACCAAAACCAAAACCCCAAACCAAAAATCCAAGACTCTATTATGTATTATGTATTATATGTTTTGTCATTCTATTCTTTTGCTGGGGTTGGAGCACCCCCATCCGAACACCCCCCCCCGTGAAGAGCTCTCGAGGCGTCTTCCAAGCTGCTGGACGCAGAACTCACACAGGACCTTAGCCTTTGTTAATTGAATACCTAGAGTGGAAAACACATCTTTGCGTGCTGTTCCAAAACGAACATCAAGTGTCTTGAAGCATTTGTTTGGCACACCTAGGGTTGAGGTTGGAATGTTTGAGCAAATCGACTCGAGATGTCATGTCGATAAGTTTTCCTGTCTTCCGAAGATGGCTCATTAGTGCCTTTCTGTGCTACTTGCAGATGGATCTCACCAAAGCCGATCCGATGCTGCCTGCGAGGCCGAATGCTGCAAATGGTTTGGCCACTTTGTGTGCAACCGAGTCATGGTGGTGGCCTAAGAGTTTGCGATTTGTTTCCAAAAAAGGTTGGTGTGTTCGTTGGACCAGTGATGAGACCAGGCCCCCCTGCTAAAACATGTAGGTCAGAAACAGGTGCAAGATCAGATGCAAGCTCCACATGTGTGCAAAAAGTTTCACTGCGTTGACTCTTCGCTTCTAAGTGTTACATGATGGGTGTACCTGTTAGGACGACTCGGCAGAAAGGTGCTCAACTGAACAGTATTCAAGAAGAGACGCAGGTCTTTGGTCAAGATATTCTAGGCTCGGCACTAGTCGTGACCAATGGTCAGTGTGTGGTCATGGGATTTCAAAATGCATGTTTCGCCAAGAACGATAACTCTCTCACCAAAAACAAGAACATGACGGACATGAAAAACGACAATACACTCACCAAATCCTGATGACCTGCAACACAACAGATTTTCGCTGTCACTCATATAGATGCATATATATATATTATATGTAAATATTATACACACAATATATAACATATATGCGCAACATATACACTACTATATATATATATAGTATATATATACTATATCATATACACTATATATACTATACACAACACACACACTATATATATACACATATAAATGTATAGCACGCTTTGTTGGTTTTTGAGAGTATGCATGAGAAGCTCACGATGCTTTGCCATGGCCCACCATTTGTGGCCCTCTTATTCAGGGATGAACATCCATGCTGTTCACCACGCGGGGTACAGTTATTCTTTTTTTCCGACCGCCACTCTTTGTATGTGTTCACAGTACCTACTTGCTTTCCGCGACATGCTTCGTCTAAATTCTTCGCATGTTTGGTGAACTTGGGTATTGCATACGGTACCCACGATTGATTTGGGCACCCAGTTTTGTCGGTATGTTTCAAGGAGTTACTGTATCTCACGGGTCACCCTCATGAATTGGCATGATTCGCAAGTTAGACAAAACGGCAGCATGCAAGGAAATTCCAAAAAAGAGACACACGAGATGAAACGAAGTGGGTAGGGCTTTAAGTGCGGTGTATAAACTGTATAAACCATTACCTTTCCTTTTCCCCAATAGCCATGCGATGGGGTCTTGCAAAACTAAAAGGGGGGCCTCGTCGGGTCACTGGCAGATCTGGTGGGCGGATGGGGTCCCGGTCCTGTTCTGATGGTGTCCGGGTTTTGTTGTGATGGTGTCCCGGTTTTTATCGTGAGGGACATTGACACAGGCATCCTTTTCTCAAGGACTCTCACATCGGTGGCTTTGCCTACATCTGAAACGTCCACTTCATTCACCACTGTGACTTCAACATGCCTTTTGAGGAAACAATACTTGGTCTGTCGACATTGTCAGCAAGGTTGGATCTGGGCAGATCGGCTGGTTGGGAAGGCGCATATGAAGTGGTTGAGTTGCGGACATGCTTGGCAGCAACATCATGTCCCGGACCTCAAAAAGAAAAAGAAGCCAGGTGGGCGGACTGGAACTTTTCTCACCAAGGTGAACAGTGGCCAACGAAATCCTATCAACTGGCCTTGCTTGAGCCTGCGAAGGACTGCAGGGTGACACCAAGAAGCCAACGGCGTTGCTTGCGACCCCAGAGTTGCCTTTTTCCGCTTGGAAGACATTAGCAGGTATGCATGTGGGTTGAGGTTTGATATTTTCCGTTGAAGGGATTGGGGGGTTGGGGTTGGGTGGGGGGCTAATGATGTTGGTTTGGATGTTTTTCGAAGATGATGTCGCATGCTCACAAGCTTTGGAAGATGTTGTTGGCGATTTTGCCAAGGATGGTTTTTGTTGAAATTGTTTTCGATTTCATCTTTGGAGTGCGAAACGCGGTGTTCTTGAAATAGTGTATTTTACAAGACTCCAAGTCCTTTTTTCATCCTCCTCAGGCAGGTTCTGTGTTTAATTTCTGTTTTCAGGTGGAATGCTTTTTTCGTAGCAGTTTGTTGTTGCTTTGTTTTGTTTTCTGTTTTGTTAATGTATGCCGTGGGCGGATCCCAGAACAAGCAAACTGTCCACTGTCGGAGCTTTCGAAGCACATCACAACCAAAAAAACCAGGGTCACTGACTACGCCGTAGCCACCAAGAAGGGCAAGAAGGCTAAGAAGATCTTCAATCAGAATTTTGAGACCATGGTACAGGCCCACTGGGACAATCTGCATGAAGAAATCCGGCATCAACTTGAAGAAGTTGGAGGAAACAGCGGCACAAAGGAGGAGGAGAGCATCCACAGATGTGTCCCGGTCCTGTTGTGACGCTGGCCCATGTTGCGGTCATGTTTTGATGGTGTCCCGGTCGTGCTTTGATGGCGCCCTGGTCATGTCGGTCATGCTCTGATGGTGTACCGGTCCTGTTCTGATGGTGTACCGGTCCTAGTGTCATGGTGTCCGGGTCATGCTCTGGTGGTGTCCCAGTCATGCTTTGATGGTTCTGTCGTGTCATGCTGTGATGGCGTCCCAGTCCTTCTGTTCTGATGGTGTCTGTTCTGATGGCCCAGTCATGCTCGAATGTGTCCCGGTCCTCTTATGTTCTTGAATATCCCTATATAAATATATATATATATGGGTCTCCAGCTGGGGCAATTCATCTCCTTTGTTATGATTTATATTCCAAATCAAACACCTTCGACATCGAGGTCTTGATTTACTTGGGACCTGGGAAAGCGCAGCTGAAGCTGGAACCGGAGGTGCGGGTTCACTCGCCCGATCGGGTTGAGACGACCTGATTGATTCATTCCAAGTTCGCTGCACCGGTAGCGCCAGTACTGCGATTTCTTCCCAATTCTGGCTGGATGTGGCATGTTGTTTTTAACTCATGCATTGAAGTTTTCGAGTATCTAACGCCATGAGACACCAGAGTGTTTCGCATCGGGAGGATGGCGCTGAGAAACTCAGTGTATAGTTTGATCAGAGGAATTACTACAAGACTGATGGCCTGTTTTTCGAAGGTGTCATGGCACAGATCATACTTCCAGCACAGAGGAAATCACACAGTTATTTTGAGAAGTGCTCTGCCTTTCACCTGAGCCAACTATAATTACTGGGGGTGATCTGCGGCCGCGAATGTTTTTGCAAGCGAGCTGTTTGACAAGCAGGGTAGCCTCCAACCACAGCTGCATGCAGGAAGATGGAAGTGAGAGTGAGGCAGGTGCGACCGCAAAGCCTCCACACCGCAAAGCCTCCACGTGGGCTGGTGGAGAAATGGTCTTGGACACCAAAATCAATGGTCTCCACTCATTTTCGTCATTCAGCCGCTGTGTCTGGATTGGCCAGTGGCCAGGCTGTTTCAACCTTTGCGTCTCAGTGTACAAACTGCTGTCAAGTGCTCACTGGGAGAATCGACCCATCATGAACACTGGGGTTTAGATGTCTCAAGCTCCTTGAAACAGTTTGTTACTTGACGGAGACGTCTTTCCTCCGGTGTCTTCGTCACCAGCGTTCTCAGCGGCGAAATCGCCTCGCCCCCGAGTCTCCAGGGCGAATTCTCAGACGCCTGGCCGGTCACAGAGGTGGGACTTGGGAGGGCTGGTCAAGAGAGGATAAGCAGAAGTTGGACTTGCTCCAACTCCAACTCCACATTGACATGGAGAAGTTTTTTTGTTTCTTAAACAAAAGACATGAATTGATCTTGCGGGAGCAGAAAGCCACAATGTTGAGCCTCTCATCAGTTCAACGGTTGTTCGAGTGCGTCCGCATTTGTGCTATGCCACCACTTCAGGCTCATGACACAACGTAGTTGGATGAAGGTAGTGCAGCAAAACAAGCCAGCCGGAAACACCGCATCGCGACAGGATTCATGTCCTTCACATTGCTTTCATGAATAGAGGGCGGCCGCATTCTAGGAAGGTTGAAGCTTGAACTCTCAAAGTGGGCATCACTGCAGTATTCAATATGCCAGGCAGGCAAAGGCAAAGACTGAATCCAGTCAAATTGCAAGTTCTAGTGGAAGGCTGCCCTGATTGTCCTCGTCTTCTTGTTATCGCGATGCCATGGCGAGATGGCAACTAGTGCCAGTGGTGGTGCTTTTGGTTGCAGGTGGGAACAAATCTTAGCAAACTATATTATGTTAGTATATAGCACATTGTCATGTCATTCGTGTCCCACCAATGTGAGGCGATGAACGTGATCAGCTACAGTGCATTCACCTGGACCACTACCCCGGCAAATGTCCGGCCAACATCATGAAGGGAGCTTGCTACAGCCACCCATCTGAACTGGGAGGGCCGTAGCTTCTTCGGCAGAACGTCGAACACGGCGGTGGTCGGTCCGAACACGGTCGCCTCGGGGCGAAGTGTTCGCCCAAGGAGAGCCATCTCGAACGTCGCGTCGCTCCGTTCGTAGGAAGGCCAGGAGCCCCGATCGTAGCGTCCGATCGCTCCGTTCGTAGCGATTAACAAGCAGACATCTGTCCGACCTGTCCTCTGTTTTCTTCCCATGTCCCGATCCAGATCGCCTCACGATTGGACGGACCTCCGCTTTTTTCACGCCCAGGTTCCCGTGAGGACGTGACCTGGGCATGCATGCCCGATGGCATTGCCTCTGGCGTGAATTGCGAAAGCATGCAATTGCCAACAGAGGAGAGGAATCGGGGTTTCTGCTGGTTTGATGTTTCATGCAGATGTTTGTGAGTTGATCAAAAGACAAAATGCAGACAAAGAATCGTGTAGACCTCCGCGTGGAGCTGTGAAGGGTTGGGGTGTGTGCAGGCAGGCTTTTATGACGGCTACTGCAGCTTCTTTGAGACCCCTGGCTGTAGTTTTCAGAGCGTGGCCTTGTGGTCTGGTCCTAGTGAACAACCACCGTACATTTGTGGGACTGAACATCGGATGAAATTAGGTGGTCGTATGGGACTGGAATGGCAGAAGCTTGAAGCTCCCAATTGCGCCGCCCCCCCCAAACAAAATACATCTGGGTTCCAATCCCCGGCGTTTCAAAAATTGGTTCGTCCTCCCGCCCGTTCAGCTGGACCAATCGCACTCCGATGTGCGGGAGCCGCGACCTGCGACCGCTGTGCGACCGCGACGGATCCGCGTCCGAGGAAGCCGACCACCCCGACGACGCAGCTTGCCTTCGAACATCGAAAGCCAGTCCTTGATTGATGGCAGACATATCGGTTACATATCGTTTTTGTCGTGAAAGAAGAGAAGGGTGAAAATCAAGCTCGGTAGTGTCTGGCGATCAGCTAGATTGGCTGAACTTCGTTCCTGGGAAGGCTGTCTTTGTTCTGGCCATTTTCCATCAGTGAAAGGTCTGACTCGCAGCCACAAGTGACTGTAGATGCCATTGAGGGGGCTTATTGTACGCACAAGGGTGTTTGTAAACACCTTGGAGGGTACCTGGGTAAGACGGAGTCTGAGATCAAACCTTGCACGACTCGAGGACCCAAACCACCACACCTTGCACGGTGAGGAGGCCGGAGAGGAGTCAATCCAGCGGTTTTATGCCAGCCCGATCGGGCTTGCGCTTGAGGGCCTGGAAGACCTCATTGTTTGAAGGTCCTTGCAGGCACCACGATGCCGGACTCGGTCACACACGGATGATGTGTTTCTATTCTTTTTAATTTCTATCTTTTTGGAATCAGCCACAAAGTCAACCCTGATGACTGCTCGCAGGCTGAGGATTGTGAACCGCTGTGAGAACGAGCCAATTTGGATCGCGCACGAGGTGGACATGCTGTGCAGATCTAAGAATCCAATACAATCCAATATCAATGTTTGAAAGGCAACTCACAAGAAGGTTTCCAATATATGACTGGGCAGGCTGCTCGTGGTGAAATGGGCCCAGGCATACAGAGCCTTGTATGCAGGCTTTGCCGAAGCGGCCTTTACCTTCCAAAAGCTGACCATGGTCACCTGAGGAATTTGCTGATTCCGCCCGACTCCTTCCATGACTTTTGCACACCAGACAAGCTGACAGGCGCCAAATACGCTCTTAGTTTTGTTTCTGTTGATCGCATGCGGCTTTTAAACATCCTGTGATTGCGAAGTTCTTGTTGCTTTGTACTCCTCCTGAGCACTTGCACGATATTGGATGGGATGTCAGGGGGTGTACTTGGCTTGAAGGAATCACTTCATTGGGCTGGTGGTTTCAGAAGCAGACACAACGTCAGCAAGACCCTCGTAGCCATGCATGACATTCCTCCACGGAGCAGTAGATGGCGCACCAAGATTCTCTGAATTTGTTGACTGGAACTTTCTTTTATAATCAAATAACATATTGTATCATAGATGTCATAGATATTCATAGATGTACAGTATATTATCTGTACATATTAGAGTGGGTTTGGATCTTGGTATATATTCCTTTCCTGCATTGTGTGAAGTGGGCCCCTCCAGGGCTTCGCTATACCCACTTTTCTTCACTGAATGTCGCAGGTACACGGTACTGGCCAAAGATGCTGTGCGATGAGGACGGCCTGAACTGCTTGTTGGGAAGTAGCGGTGGTCCCGGCGAAGGCTGCAGTACCTTGGTACTCAACACCTCTAGCTGGCCAGAAAGGCACGTTGGTTTGTTTTCTATCGAACCCGCCAGCCAATGGGCTTTAGTCTAGTTTAGTTATTCTCCGAGTGTTTGGTTAGTTTAGCTCTCCATAGTAGTCTAACTTAGAAGCAATCATGCGTCCGCTGTAATATTGCAAAGCATGGCTTCTGGCAGATGGATTCTTCACTTCTCCACTCAGGTACAAACGGCCAGTACGATCAATGCGCCCCACCCATTGACACCAAATTCGAGGCAACATTTGGTACACGAGGCAGGAGCATGCAGGAGCTCTGGACTGGAGGTTCATGTGTGGGACTTGGTTCTCACGCTGTAAGATGATGCAAGATCAAGGTATATAGAACGCTGGTAGATTGGTCCTCAAGCCATTATTTTGCACTTTTCATTTCCATTTTTATCTTGTTCTGGAAGTGAGGGAGTCCTGGAGGACTCAGTGTAAAGGATTGTTTAAATAGCTTGATCCACATCCAGAAGACTAAGGCGAAACCCTCGTACTTCAAAGAAATATGACCTGGACCATTTGTTTTGGAAGACAGCATAGATTGCCTGCTATATATATATGTATATACATTTAAAAATATGTATTTTTGTATCCAGGCTCAAGGTTTCGGCTGGAGGCACCAAGGACTCATCCCGCCTGGCCCGGCACCTAGTGGCAACGACAGGTGCCTCGAGGAAACCACGATGAGGAAGCACTATCTAGTGTGCCAAGGATGCAAACAGAGTTGGATCTGGGAAGAGACGCTTTTGCAGCATCCACACATGGCATGCAACCAATGTGGACGGCAATGGAAACCTCGAGCCCTTCCAGATCTACGCCGACGAAGAGTAGAATGGGCGGCTTGGAACTTTGCATCCCAAGGTGAGAAATGGCCCAAGAAGACTTACAAGGAAGCCTTGGTATCACCACCACCAGGACTACACGGTGGGAAACCACCTAAGAGAAACAAGGCCAAGGCGCAAGGAATTGAGAAGAAGCTGCAAGAGCATTGGACGACAATCCCAGAGACCTTGCGCACTCAGCTCGAGGCCATGGGAGTCAAGGCAGCAGAACCAGCTCCGCCACCGGATCTGCCCACCTTGATCAAGGAGCATCTGCAGAGCTTGCCATCCGACCTCAAGGAAGCACTTAAGCAGATAGTGGAACCGACTAAGAGTGAACCACCTCTCAACCAGAAGCTGAAGCAGGCGGTTGGAACTCTCAAGCACTGTCCGAGAAAAAGGCGGCGATCCAGGTCAAGGCGGACAACATCAAGCAGCAGTACACCCAGCTCTTGCAGGATCTGAAAGACGTCCAGGCCAAGATAAAGACAGCACAAAAGGAGCTGCAAGAAACCACCCACCTCTACAACCAGCAGCTCGAGAAGGACAAGCAGACGCAGGATGAAGAAACATGCAAGACGAATCTCAGCAGAAACCTGCTGACTGTCATGGCCAGCACAGGACTGCACGCATCCGCTGAGCAGGCCAAAGAATTTGCTGCCAAGCTTGGAGAGAATGCCAGCAGACAGAGGAATGTGAAGAACTACAAGTGCAGGCAAGCCTGGACTATGTGGTGCAAAACCTTCAATGCAGATTAGGCAATGACCGAAAAAGGTGCTTTGCCAACGGGCCTTTCCGGTTGTGGGGCTTGGGTGGGAAGCTTCCTACAAGGCCCTAGGCTTTGGAACAAAACTACGGCGGCAGCCATGGCAGCCTTGGGGGACAATGAAGTGGTAAACATCACCACGCTGGACACCCTCACACCGCTGTGGCGCAAATTCAGGAACTGGTCAACGTCTCACAGGCCAAGAAGGTGATCAAGCAGTACCGCCATGTGGACTATCGACAAGAAGTTCATCTACATGAAGCTTTCCTGACTCACCTCATATATCCGGAAGGAAACTCTAATAGCACGATGGGCAAATACAGCTGAAGGACAAGTACTGGCAGGCACTGGACTGTGGGTGGCTCAGATTGGGCGCTACGCCCACAGAAATGGAGCATGGATGGAGAAATGACGAGGACCGAGCAGTACGCGTTGGTTGGGCTTCTATGTCACACAGGAGATGCTCACCATAGGGGTCATTTCTTTGCCATCTACATCTACAGAGGGTTATTCTAGCTGGCGGATGATGGAGTACCTTACATCCAGGACAGCATCAAGCAGCAGATCGTGCAGGTGTGGGCTATACCATCCAAGCAGCTCCTGCCCAGTCACCTCAAATGTGATTTCCCTACAAAAGCCATGGGGGAAAATCCGAAGGAGCTAGAGGCCAAACGTAGGTGCAGTTTGCTTTCGCCAATGTCACTACATTGGGGCATGACGTGAGACAGTGGATTGGAGGAAGACCAAGAACACCGATCTTCGTAGTTGAAACACATTTGAATGAGGCTGACCACTTCAAGACCGTGCAGTGGCTCAACGCCAGAGGCTTTGGCACTTTGGGGCATGCGGCGGCAGAAAGTCCCAAAGCGGGCGCAAATGGGGGCTTCATGGTCATCTTCCCGGCCCACCTCCATTTTCACCATGTGCAACGCCAGGTCATTGATGGGTGTGGGTGGTATGCAGTCATGTGGAGCTTCAACCACCTCAGCCTCATCATGGTTACAGCGTACTTCAAATGCGGAGAAGGGGTGCAAGGTAAAACCAACTCTGCATTGTGGGCAGGGCTCATCAACCTCGTGACGGGGGTGAACCAACCCTGCATCATCATGGGGGACTTTAATATCACCCCGGGTGAGCTCATGGCCACGACAATGAACACAGTGATGCAGGTGCAAGTTGTGGCAACAGAGGAGGAGACACGCAACACAGGAAATGAGCTGGGTTGGGCTTTGGTCACCAACCAAATCAGCCCAGACATCAAGGTGACTGCAAACTGGGAGGTTCCTTTCAAGCCGCATGCGCAGCTGCTGTTCCATTTGAACAAAACGCTAGAGCCAATTGCAGTGAATCAGCTCACAAGGTTCAACCCGGCGCCGAAGATGGAGAATCCAACCAGAGAATGGATCCAGATTGAGGCAATTGAGCAACCGGTCCAGTGGCTGGACATGGGAGACAACTTGGTCAGCAGACAAGTAGGCAGCATCTACGGCCGGATAGAGAGATATGTTTTGCAAAACCTGGACAGCCCAACTCATGGACGTGGCGCCCGGCTCCAATACCAGCGATGACCACTTGACAACCCTTCCAAACCACGGATGTGGAAAAAGGGTAGTTTGGCTTTCTGGAACCAGGTGGAAGTCAGGCTGCAGCAATTGCTTCATGGAGAACCACGCCTTCGAGGAGATCAACCACAACTGGAGAAGCTGGGGTGGCACATTGATCAGCGTTGGCATGATGGGGCAGTTGTCTCCAAGGAAAGCTACAAGATGCTCTTCAACATGATGTGGGGGCAACATGACCAAGAGCATATACAAGTTTTGATGAACTATGCAAAAAAACAACGAGATCTACACCAAAGCACCAGCTTTGCAGCGGAAACGGAAATGTACAGTGAATGGTTGGCCAAGGCGTCGCTCACCTTCATGCGGCCTTTCCAGCAGCTACCCAGGCAAGAGCGCATGGCCAAAAGAGTCCAGCAATGGGGTGAAATATGGGGCATCAGAGGAAGTGAGCGCAAAGTCACCGCCCTGCCTGCCCTGATCGAGAATGCAAGGAGCATGCAACCACTATGCAGCCGCTTACAGAGAAGCAGATGTGGCACACCATTAAGCAGCTGTCCAATAAGGCACCGGGTTTGGATGGCATTGGCTTTGATTTCCTCAAGGCCCTGCCCTATGCTGCAATGAGAGATCTGGTCCAGATGTACCACAAGATTGAAGCTGAGGCCATGGTACCCAACCACTGGAATTTGGCGCTGGTAGCATTACTACCAAAGTAGATCGAAAGACCCATTGCATTGGTTGCCACTTTGTACCGACTCTGGTGCAGGCTGAGAAGCAACTACACCAAGGAGTGGCAAAGCCAGCTGGAGGAAGAGTATCCATGAGAGCCCGGGCGCAGAGTGTCTCCAAGTGGCACTCAGAAGGGCGTTCATCACGGAGCGCAACCAGGCCATGAAGAAGACGGTGATTTCGGCGCTCTTGGACGCGGCCAATTTCTATGACAGGATCAACTTGCAGAAATTGGCGGAGCGGTGGCTGGTGTCAAATTACCCAGGCACCCATGCAGCTTTTGCTATGCGGCGCCAGGATCCTGGAGGCGGAAGGTGAAGCTTCCAACCCCATGCGGACAGAAAAGCTGTCCGCAAAGAAGACCGGGTTTGTGGTCTTGAATGTTGAGGCCAAACGCGTGCTGAAGGCACAGCTCCCCGGCGGGGGGCCAGTGGTCCATGATGTGATGAGAGATTTGGGTGTGGGTTGCACAGCGGGGCGGCTCAGACGCGTCCAGACAATGAGGGCAGGAGAAAGAAAGCAGCCACGAAAACAAGGAAGCTGCGCACTTTGAAGATCCCACAAAGGGCGGTGAGACTCAAGTTGTACAAGGGCAGCGTCCAATCAGGCATACGCTGGGGACACCAGGCCGCCCCAAACCAGGCTGCGCATCAAAGCCACGATGGCAAGGCAGATGGGCATGCAGCGCACAGGAAACATGGACCTGGTCTATGATATGCAGCCAGGGCACAAAGATCCAGACTATGAGGCCTTCGTCAGTCAGGTCAAGGTCTACAGACAGTTCTTTGGAAAACTGGCCGGAGCATCTCCATTGAGATCTTTACAAAGCCTGGCAGGTACACAAAGAACGACTCCGGCAAGCAAAGCATGGCAAGTGCCCGTGGTCCTGTAGCCGCACTCATCTGTTACCTCCATGATCACGGGTGGGATTCCACCCACTACGATCGGTGGACAAAGCAAGGTGCCAATGGCGAGGGTGACTTTGAGTTGAACATGCACGCCGCGTGGTACTTCATCAAGGCGGAGCTCGAGAGGGCACAGGTGCGTGAACGCATCACCAACATTCAGAAGAGAACCATGCTGCAAGATGTTTAACAGTTTTTGGCATCCTTGGAAGAGACTGTCCAGCCAGTCCAGGATCAGAGTGAAAACAGCGCTGCGAACATGGCTTCAAGGTGCCATCTTCGCGAAGATGTCAGAGGGCACGGAGGAAGGGCATCTGATGTGTCCACACTGCAGCCAACCAGCCAGGAGATCAGAAGGAGATCGAGCAGGGCATTTTTGAAGTTCTGGGTGCAGGGACTCCTACAGCTCCCAGCAGTTATTCTGGCCACCTGAGGGGCGGCCATCCAGGCCTGGGGATCTCTGATTGAGCTGGATGCAATCCAACTCAAGGGGCCTGACACCATGCCATTGGCATCGCCACGACCAGCGGAGACAGCAGAGTAAGACACTAAGTTGCGACCATCGCGCGCCGCACCATCTTTGCAGGTGAGATGTTCCGAATTGGGGCGGTGTCCACGGTGCTACCTGGCAAGCAGACACAGGAAAGGGCATGGTACTATGGGATGAGAACGGTGGCACACTGTGTCGACCTCAACGTCCCCATCAGGGTGCATGTCCTCTCAGTCAAAGCATGGGAAGCTTGGGTGCATGGGAAACATCAAGAACAATTTCATGACCTCAGCCAACTGGTCATTTGGGATCAAAGGCAAAGGGTTAAAGCCCTTAGCGTCACCAAGGCCCAACTGAAATTCCATTCCAAACACAGGTCTCTCTTTGCGCAGCAGATGCAAAGACGCCAACAAAGCAGCCATGGAAAGTTGCCATCTCCAAAAGGCCGCTGGACCAAGAAAAGGAACTGAAAGAGCAAGACAGAAAATACAACAGAGTGGCACCCATTGCGGCGCAAAGGATCAAACACCTGCTTGACAGCCCGGAGCATTTCATCCAGCCCAGAAAAAATCCGGGAAAGAGCAACGCCAAAAGACCCGGGATGAGAAGGCTCTCTACTTAGAGATCAGTGTCACTGGCAAGGAGGATGGACGCCAATGGATGCCAAAAGGCCGCGGCTTGCAATGTCAACGCTGCCAGACACGCATCCACCAACACATGCTAATGCAGCAGCTCAGGACATCCAAGGAAGAGAAGCGCGAGCTAGCCCAAGGCTTGCCAGTGAAGGGTGGAGAAGGCCATGGAGACCAAGCAGGACTTCATTTGACGAATCACGGAGGAGGACGATCCACGCACCCACCAGTTGACCATGCAGACGCATTACTTGGTGTGCGGCCGGTGTGGCATGCGTGCACTCAAAAATGCAGCCAGAGAAAACATCGAACAGCTCCACTGCAGCCCTTGCTGGCATGGGAAATGGGTGGCGCCAGCCACATGGACCGGAAATCGAACACGCGAGCTCCAGCGCAGGGGCAATAAAGTGTGGTGCCAGACATGCAAGGCATGTGCAATTGCCAAGAATGGCGCCTGGATTCCAGCGATCCAGCAATTGCAGCTTCCATAGTGCTTTCAGGCCAAAAGGGCCACAGAGCTGCGCAGTGGAGCTTGGTCGGACGTGGCCGTGGTCACCTGAAAGAAAAAAACCTCCGGAAGCCCAAGTGTGGAGCCGCGAATGAAGACGAAGGTCCTCCCAAGATGAGATACTCCTCGTGGCTTTACCGGAGCTCCAGTCCACCATCGCCCTCCACCACGAAGAGAGCTGAAGAAAGAGAGCTGGGAGTTGCACTCAAAGCTGCGCGCTGGGCATTCCGCACAGGGATGCTGAATTTTGTGAAAAGGCTTGGCGGGAAAAGTGCCACGCTGCTGGCGGAGTGCGCTTTGCCATATGCACTCTGTATTGTAAACGTTTATGTTAACAAGTATATCACAGTATCTATTTTGATGGTACGCGTCAGTAGTATTGGTCGGGCGTCTTCTGCACTAACTCTTTTCTGCCACACATTCCACACTAAGTGTCTGCCCGTCTCCATGACCAGGCTTTCACAATGCTTTGCCATGGCTCGAATAGGTGGGTTCTTCGTCTTGTCATGTCTGGTGCTGTGATGGACCCAGCCATTGCCCACGTTGGCGCTGAGCAATGACAGCTTAACATCTTGGACACTGCTACGCGCAGGCAGATTGTGCTGACTCCAAACAGGTAAAGTCATCCAAGGTGCTCTTTTCGATCTTCGTTTCGGAACTCCATGCGGCGGGCTAGGTCAGCTTGTCGCCAGCGGGCGTTATATGGATCTGCCTCAAGCTGTTGCCTTCCCAGCCTCCGTCTCCAAACCCCAAAGTCGACTTCCTCCACTGCGGCCTTGAAAGCCCTCTGCTTCCCGCGGCAAAACCGGTGGCCCAACGCAACCAGCGAGAAGGGGTTCAGACGTCTGGAGGCGCCATGGTTGTCTTGTCGTGTGCCCGGCTTTCAGTGTGGTAGCCGAGCTACCTGGTGGTTCGAAAGGACACTGACCTATCCAGCTTTGGTCCTTTTGCTGGGCACACATAGCCGCGCCGGAACCTTTCATTGAAAGCCAAGCAGAAGCCCCAGTGACTGGGCGAGTTCAACCTTCATCTCCTCACAGCGGCGAGGCTGGTTACACCTCGGACCCGCGTGGGCTCAGGCAAGTGCTCGGCGAGTTCAGGCAACACTTGAGCTTTGTTGGCTACAACTTGGGCAAGAATAATGAGGACCTGCAACACTGATGGATCCATTGCGTTGAAGCAACAATAGTATGTTGAGGACAGACCCAGTCCAATCTGTGTGGTTTCCTGGGTGCGCTTTATGGTTGAGCAAAGAAACAAAGTGTGATCTTGCAGGAAGAAGCGCTCTTCTTCAACAGAGCCGCCCACACCCACAAGTAAAGGACGTTGAAGCAGCAAATCGCTTCGCTTTGACAGCAGGTACAGACGCGCGGGCAGCCAATTCCTTTACAGTCCTTGCGGATTTAAATTCGGGTTGCCACTTACGAAAATCAATAGTGGGGGGAAACCGATAACTCCGAACACGCAGCTACAGAAGAGTGGACAGGCGAGACAGTTTTTCTGTGGGCGTCTCTTCGCAGCCAAGGTGGGCAATGCGTTGTTTACTATGGGGAGAAGCTCTGAAATTTGCAGCGTCCCAGCTCCGGTCACCATGGCTTCATCGCGTGCCTACAGACTTAACGGCAGGATACGGAAGGTCGTTAGCAACCATGGAGTGGAGCGTTTGGTCAATGGTGTTGGGTCAGCAAACTGGCATCGACTCTTATTGCGTGAGTTTTTGAGAGGCATCATTACCAACAATTGGGGAGAAACAAATTCGACATTTTTCCCCAAACAGTTTACTGTTAGGGGTTCTCAATGCTTTAAAGAAATGGTCGCCTTGGTGCTGGATGGTCTGGTCGGGTTCCCGGCCGGCCTTGTCTTCCACTTCCTTTCATTTGTCTCCCAGTTCTTTTCATTTGTCTCCCAAGCTGGGTGCTTGTTGTCGGGTTCCCGGCTGGCTTGTCTTCCCAAGCTGGGTGCTTGTGGTCGGGTTCCCGGCTGGTCTCCCACTTCCTTTCATTTGTCTCCCACTTCTTTTCATTTGTCTCCCAGTTCTTTTCAT